GTTTCAGAGGACCGGGGAGGATGAGACTAGTGTCATATTGCACAGAAAGTGAATGAGAACTTCACCCTCTTCAAAGAGAGAAATAATTCTATTGTGGTCTCTTCAAACTTAAATTTTGGCTTTGTGTTTTAAAAGCAATATAGAGCCTATGAGCAAGAGCAGGGTGCTGGATTTAGGCAACTGCATCTGGGCAGTGAACTTCTGATAAGCGGATGGGTAAGACCTTTTGAATTAGAGGAAACAGCTTCAGGTTGCGTCGGGGGAGGTTTAGATTGGATATTAGGAAAAATTTCTTCACCAAAAGCCTGATCAAGCATTGGAACAGGCTTGCAGGGGAGTGGTTGAGTCACCATCCCTGGAGGTGCTTAAAAGACGTGTAGATGTGGTAGAGACATGGTTTAGTGGTGGACTTGGCAGTGTTAGGTTTACAGTTGGACTCAGTGATCTTAATAGTCTTTTGCAATCTAAATTGTTCTATGATTGGTTCCTTACCATCTCACCTCGCCAGGTGTGAAGGAGTCAGAAGTTTGGATACTCTGGTTTAGATGCACCTGTTTCTTTACAGATGACGCACTGGCACCTTTAGTGTACTGGAAACCTTAAGTCTTGGATGGCACTCCCACCTAGCAAGCTGTGGTGTACCCAGGCAGCCTGGAAAATGGAGCTGAAGCTTCCTGTTTCCTGTTATTTACCATGCAGAATGCTCAAAGGCAATGTCTGTGCTTTCCAGCCATCCATTTGCTGTGTTGTTAAGAAACCAAATGGGTAACTCATCCAGAAACTTGATGGATTTCCTGCTTATTTCTGTGATGCTGCCTGGAGAGGGCACATACTTGAGAAAACAGGCAGAAAGCTATTAACAGAGCTCTTTTCATCAGTTTTGGGCTGCGTAAACTGGTAGGAATACTAATTTTGGCGCCAAGTCTAAGGGACTCCAGGGAAGCAAACAGGACAGACCTGAACATTGTCTAAAAAGCATATGACTCTTGGCTTCATTTTCCAGCTAAGAATGAATTGAACCTTTTCAAAGCTCTTGCCCAATGTAAACAGAATGCAATACCTAGCTGTTTACCCAGGCGTGCTCTGCCTAAGAGTCAAAAGTCATTGTCCATGATCAGCTCTGGTGAAAATAAAGAGGAAGTGTTAGAACTTGCAGTACAGAAATTATTATGTAGAGCTAAATGCTGAAGCAATTCCTTGAAGAGGAGATAATGCTTGCAGGAGCTAGTGCTGTATGTGCACATGCATGTGGATTTTTGTTGGTGGTCATTTTGTTCTTCCCAATTCAAAATATGGGTGCATATTGTGGTTTAGAAGGTGCACTGTCACCTTTACCAGCTTCAAACAGAGCCTCTGCTGACGTCTTACCTACTCCCAAGTTACTGGAAATCCTTTGATTTAACATACAAAGTCCACGGTGGTCTGAAGGTACTTGTTACTTCTGACTGTTGTGCTAAACCAGCAGAACTGCTCTGTGCATTTTTTTGGCTATTGCTAAGTGGCTACTGTGTGCTCCTTACCTTGATTTTTAGTAGGGTTGCTCCCAGGATAAGGTACTGCTGCTCTGGGCTGGTGTCAGAAAGATGTATTAGGAAGCTGTTTTGTTTGCTGGGAAACAAGTGTTCTCTTTTCCACTACTTTGAGTGGAAGAAAGAACATCAAAGTTGCAGAGCAGCAGATGTGTATGACCTTTTAATAAAGCCATGATAAAAGTGGTAAAGCCTGTAGTTGCTGTATTTTCTTGGACACAACACAACTACATGGATGCTTGTGGTGGTGCAGCCCCTCCACACCTGGCAATCCCAGAATCAGCCAACATTGTGTTCTTGCTTGCGCTGCGAGAATAGCTAGCTGGTGTGCAATGAATCGGGACAACTTGGCACTTTCCTTGTCTTTGCACAAGAGCAGTGAGTTGGGCTGATCAGGCCCTCCCTGACCCCATCTGCATCTCCTGCTGCCTGGAGATGCACCCGCCTGGCCAATGTCAGAACTGTACGTTCTGGGTAGTGCTGGAATTGTATAGTTTCTGTCTAAATATCAGGATTGCATCATGTGGATTGCAACCAGGATGGAAAATTACTGATGCCTAAAGTCAATCATCTTGAGACCATATAAACAGTGGTACCAAGGAAGGCCCTTTGAGCTCTCCTGGTCCGCAGCGGGCTGTGCCCAGTAACTCCCTCTGAGTGGGACGCCTCTCAGAGCAACTCACGAACTGCCTGAGCTGATCTCCTTGAGACTCAACCTTTGCCCATTGAGAAATCATTTGATTTGAAGTGAGTATTTCACTGAACTCAAGGGGAATTTTTATGGTTGTGTGTATGTGTGAATCGATTCAAAACATAATATTCTATTACTGTGATTGTAATAGCAAATTCTTTTTAGTCATTTAGTAAATGCTAAGTTAACCAGTGATTAAGAACTGCTAAATTCCCGTGATTCTCCCATGCTCTTTAAACTGTGAACATACCCTAAGCTGGTGCTAAACATATTCCTTAGACATAAACCATTGTGGTCTAAGCGCTGTTCTGGATCCAGCTGCACCCAGGCTCCTCTCTGAGAAGGAGCTTAGAAAGCAAGGGGGTCACGAACCTGGCGACTCAACGGGAGGGTCTCCCTTACCCCTGACACTTTTCTTTTGCTCTGTATAAATCATTTTCCACTCAAAACCTCCTTGGATTTTGTATTCCATTTATTTAAGAAGTAATAGAGTGAACCTTGCCAACGAACTCTGTAAGATCGTATTTTCTAAATTTTCAGTAAAATCTTTTCTTGCAAAGCCTTTGAGTGATCTTTTAAGCGACCTAACCACTCATTTGTGACAAAGCTGAAGTAAAATTCTCATTCTTTTGGTAGGTTTAGTGAGACAGTTCAAGGTAAAGATTGGAGGGCCCAGTGAATCTCTGCTGAGGTTTGACTTGCTTCCATGTAGTGAAGTAGGAACTGGATTGTCTTTAAATAAATCCATGCAAAGTTTCATCTTTGGTGACTACACAATACTGTGGTCTAAATGTCTCACTGTGAGCTGTTGTCCTTGGGGACAAATAAGTACTTCCATCATAAGACAAGATGGATTGCATACTTGAATGTCTAAAAAAGATCAGACAAATGCACCAGAGACATTTAGTTCTCCCTTCCTCTGAAAGAGAGCTGAAGATGATTGTGTCAGATGTGCTTGTTGACAGGGTAGGTGAGATGAATCCCACTCATTTTGTTTAGGAAATACGGAGGAGGAAGCTTAATATTTTTATTTGATCTATGGACTCAGGACTTGTTGACAGGAATGTGCTCTAAATAAAAGGATGGTTTGACAAAGTGAGAGTGCATTATCACACGTTGCTCAGCAGACGGCCTGGGAAGAGGAGAGAGAGAAGAAAGGTAGAGGCAATGATCTACATTCCTTTCCCTTTTCAATTAAAGTGCTGCTTGAAAAATATGGATAAGACCACCTGCCACTTCATAAAGCGACTGAGAGCTGAGGTCCAGTCGCTCCCTGTCTGGGTTGTGTAGGATTGCTGATGTGAAGGTGGCTGTAGTGGTGTTACTGGCAGGGGGTGAGGAAGCGCTGCTGCAGGGTGCGAGTGCTGGAGCTGGGCTGGAGAAGCGATCTGGGGCTGACGTCCCAGGCAAGTGGCTGGCTGCCTGCCCTGCTTCGTGAGGACCAAGGATGGTGTCCGTCTCTGGCTGCTGTAGGGTGTGACAAACATATGGGGTCCCATCTACGCTGAGGTCTCTAGATACAAAAATAAACCCAGTGTTACTCTCCGGATACATGGAGCGGCCTGGGCAGGTGTATTGAGGACTGAGATGTGCTGGGTGTGGAGATCATCTGGGCCTGTACAAGTAAGTTCTGCCCATTTAACGTGTACTGTCCCATAAAGCCCCTGGTGAAGACTGTCATGTGTGCCTCCGTGCCATGATCACTGAGGAAACACATGATGGATCACTGATTATTTCTATATGCAGTTGCATGATTTGTGCAGTACAAAAATACACTAACTTTTGCCAGGCTGTACAGCTTCTCTGCCGCAGCTTTTCACCTTCCAGCTGGGTGGCAAGTGCAATTGATATATTTATATAAAAAGGCACCTAAAAAGAAGCCAAAGCTTCAGAACTGGATTGTTAGGGAGAAGAAGGGATTGTTGGGGTTTCTTTTTTCCTTGCTGCTAGTCGTTAGCTGAGCAATTTCCTCCTCTCCTCAGGGTGAGCAGTTTTTGCTGAATAATAACCAAGGGCTCACAGGAGTTCTGGCTTGAGGCATCTGACAGATTTAACTGTGATAATGGCTACATCAAATAGCTTTTGATCATGATCAGATAGTTTAATCCCACTTAATTGCTGTGGAAATTGCTCCTCTAAGTGACTTTTAATGGTTTTGAAAATGGCTTGCTCTGGACTTCTGAGGGTTTCTAACCGTAGAGACTTAGTCTGAGAAGGTGGCATGTCCAACTCCAGCAATGGTCTGTACTTGAACATTCATTTCAAGCTCTGGCCACTCAATTTAGTAACTACTTGAATTTTCTGACACTTGCTCTGTTGTCATTACCTGTGTACGGGTATGATTATTTTAGGAAGAACTCCTGGCTGTATGGAATGTATTTATTTCTATACAGTTAAACAGGGTTCCTGCAGCAAAGCTTCATAACAAAAGAGATGTTCTTTGTAAAACTAGATGAAGTGTATTAAAGGGACCTCTCTTTCCATTAAATACAAGTAGAAAAACTCTTGCTGATCCTGCACCAGTGAAAATATGTTTGAGGTGGTGACAAGCGTGCATCTAGGAGTAGATCTTAGAGCTGTCTGTACTTGAAGAAAAATGTTATAAGATGGAGGGAGCACAGACAAATGACTGAAACCAACCTTTATATTTTTTGAGTATAAATGTATGCAGTGTCGTGGCAAATAGCATAATACTACTGGGTTGTTAAGAAGCTTTTTAAAAGAATTAACGGTGGCTTAACAATGATAAAGTACTTAAATGTGTATGTTGTTTCTGTCAGGAAGCAAGTGAAAGAGCTGGAGGAGTCAGGATTCCTGAAAGGAGCGTTGAGTGCGGAGCAGCAGCTGGCTCTCATCAGCATCTGTACAGACCTGAAGGCAGCAGTAGAGGGTGCTACTTTCATTCAGGTAAGCAAAGATTTCGCAATTCCTTGCAAACAATTTAGAAAGATGATCAAGAGCAGTGCTGTGCAGTCGATGGGCAGTGGAGAGTTCAACATCCTGACCGCGTAAGGTTGTGCTTGTTAAAGTTCTTTCTAGCCTAGTATCCTGACGTGGGAGATGATGCCTCTTTGCAGGATTTCCCTACTTGAGAGTCTGTGCAAGTTTCTTTTGGGTTGTGTTGGAAGAGACTGGTGGCTGGCTAAGCCACAAGAGAATTGCTGGCCTCCATGTGTAACAAAGACTGTTCCTGTTAGAAAGACAAATGTAGGGGAGTGGGGGGCAGGAGATTCATGGGGGAGAGATTATCTCTTAGGGAACACCACACATTCTAGTACTGGGACTAAAACGTGTTTGTTCCTCTCCAGGTACCTTGGGAAGGCAGGGAGTATGGCTATGCCCAGGAGTGACTTCTGTTCTAACTGCAGGGGAGCACTGTAGCCACAGAGTGGGAGCAGCTATCTGACAAGAGTGTTAAGAGTATTAAAACCATGGTTGATATATAGTGCTGGAATCTGTGCTGCTAAGTAAAATTGGGATGGGGAACGAGCTGTATTACTGAACCTGGTACTCTGTGGCTGCTTAACTATTAGTATGCTCACTGGTGTGGGCATAGCTCAGGGAACAGGTGAATCGGGGACTGTTTCTGGGATAAAGTATGAATGAGTTTGCATTGGACTTGGCATCTTCTACCGTACATGGTCCCAAGTATTAGTCCAGTGTTGCACTGTTAACTGTCCCTATGTGTATGTGTGCTGCATCGGAGAGTTTACAATTTATACTGTTTCAGGCTGTAAATCCCACAGTCTACTTAGCTGCAACGTATCCCTAATAATAAATTAAATTAAAAGGGGATGTATTTCCAGATCTTTTCTTCCCCCCAATTTTGTGAGGTGAAGGGAGAGGGAATGGGAGGCAGAGCAAATCTTCTCACAGGAGTCAAGGTGCGAATGCACTGTAGATTTTTATAGTGGTATACTGTTTTGTGTTCTCTTCCTTTTATCCGGATCATGAAACTATATACTATTACCCCAGTATCTTACTCCTTCGTCAGTAACAACTCGGAGCTTGTCAGTTCATATTATTTTCATGTGTTGCCTACCTCTACTGAGTTTAACCTGCAGGTTTACTGTCTAGTCACGCAATCCTGTAAAGTCCTTCCACAAATGTTTGTGGTTGTAATGATGACGACTGATTTAGCTTTATGAGCTAACTTTCAGTTCATTTATGAATGGCTGTAACAGAGGGCACAGAGACCTGTGAAACAGCATTGGTCAACATCTACCACTGAGTAAGAACTGACTGTTCTTCCTGTTGTCTACTTAGTATCTCTTTACCAGTTACTGTTCATAAAAGAACTGTTTTATCTCAGGTGTGACCAGTTACCTTCCTTGAGAGCTTTTATAATTCTTGGTGCAAGACTTTTGGGCATTCACACCAACTGCATCAGCAACGAAATGCCTGTGCTTGCTGCTTCCTTTAGAGAATTTTACTAGGTCTGTGAATCAGGACTTCCCTCTGAAAAAGTTGCTTTGATTCTTCCACATTTATCTAATACTCATTCAGTGCTACCCTTTTCTCTTAACTTGCTTGATAGAGACATGAGGCTTACAGGCTCATTTTTGAGATCTTTCCTGAAGTTTCCTTAAAAGTTGCATCGTGCTTGCCACTCTTCTGCTCTTTAGTACCAAAATAGTGTACATGCAGTTTTGCTTCAGTGAGCAGTGGTATGTCACTGTTACTGTGTTGGGTATTCAAACCATATCAAAACTTGTACTAGTCCATTGGTTCTGATTCCCCTCTCCTCTGTTCTATGACTTGAGACAGGCCCTGGGAATCCCCAAGGCTAAGGCTTCAGTTTTCTGCAAGGATTGGAAGGAGAAATGGAACAGTTGCAAAGAAATCACCGTTCTATGTGTGTGTTTTCCAAATGGTCATCCTTCTGTTCTCTAACCATCTCTTGGTCCTATGCATTCTTCTCCCTGCATTTTGAAGAAAGAAATTATTTTTTTTTTTAATTATTCCTCTTGAAAATTCCAGAGGGTGTGGATGTCTGCTTTGTTTTGTCTTATTTTGACAAGTTAACAATCCTACATGGCCATGTTCATTTGGGTCCTGCCTTAACTTTGAGGGCTGCCTTCTTGTTTCTAGTAGACTTTCCTAGTTCTGCCTGTTTCTTTTGCTCTTTCAAGTATTTCTTACTACCTAGTAAGTCCATATGGTGTATTTACTTTCTCTGTATGCTACATGTAAGGATCTGATACTTCTTACTCCCAGCTTTGCATCCCCTAAGTATCCTGACTTTTATTTTACTAGGTGCTTTTGAAGCTAAATGCAGCTGTGATGGTTCTTGGCTCTTGTTGCTCCTACAGCGATGTTGAATCTTAGTATGCTGTTGTTCCTCTTGGAGAGGCTCTTCAGCAGCAGGAGTTTTGAAGAAGGTCCTGCGTGCTTGTTCAGGTTAAATCAGGGCTGCATCATCCATTTCTCCCACCATCAGCTGATCTATGAAACAGGCATCAGGCAAATGTTGGAGAATCAAAGTTGAGTTGGAAGGAACCTGTGGAAATCATCTGGTCCAACTTGCTGTGGAACCGACTTAACATCTGCTTGCTCAGGATTTGAGCAGTTGAATTTTGAATATCTTTAAGGATACGCACTTCTGGTTTCTTCAGGTAGTTTGTTACAATGTTTGATTACACCTGTTGTTAAATTTCTTTGCTAATACCTAATCGGAATTTCCCTTCTTGCAACTTCAGTCTCTTCCCACTTGTTGTACCACTGTGGACCTCTGAGAAGAATCTGGCTTCTCTGTGTTCCCCTCAGGTAGCTGAAAACAGCAGTGTTGTGTTGGTAGTCTTTGAATAGCAACAATCTGCCTGGGGTAACTCAAACTTCTTGGTACTATTTTATGTTCCCTTAAACTTTTTGATGTCTCATAACATGTAGTCATTAAGCATATAAATAAATAATTTAAAAAAAAATGAAGTAGCTGCAGTATGCCTGTGGATAACAATTTTTGTGTGTGAAACGCTGTTGATGGTATTCATATCAGCTCATCAGTTTCAAACCTTAACATCAAACTTTGATATGATACAAAGTACACAATGTAAGTAGGCAAATTATTTGAACTATTTAATTTGCTTTTGGAAGGAGAGTGGAATGGATATAAAAGAATCTTAATTCTAGGCTCACAGCCTGGTTTCAGCAATGAACAGACTACTTTCTGGCTGAACTGTATTAAATTTCAGAAACATTGCCTAGTGCGACTTTGAACCTGGAAAGACAAAACGGACTAATTGTAACTTATGAGTGCAAGTGTTCTGACTTTTAGTTACTTAAAAAATAAAACATCAGTTGCTTTAATGTTAGTTGAATATATAGGATTCGATTTTCTTGCTTAGTGATATAAACTGCTGATTAACTTCTTAGAAGACTTCCATGAGAACTGCATTTCTTTACCCTAGATTTCAGTTGGTTAAATTTTAACTTTTTCTGAAATTTAGCCTTTGTAGGGTAAGCCCACTTCAAGCTTTAGAAATTTACTTGTTGTTTGCACTCCTTGAATGAATTCTGCAGAAAGTTGCCTTCTGTGTTGCTTTCATGGGGCATAACGTAGAACAAATGGGATGAAGTAGTAAAAAGTGGAACTTCTTAAATGACATTAGTGGAGATATAAAAGTTAAAAAAATGCAAGAAATAATTAGAAGGACTGAGTAAGAAGAAAATTCGTAACGGTAGTGTCATGAACCTTTAAAAACAAGGTGTGCCTTGATGCATATTATCTTATATATTCCCTCTCCTGAGCATTTTTATGAATTACCTTGTCTTGATTAGCATGCTTTGCATCAACTTCAGAAGGAAATCAGTCTGTTTTTTTGCCCTGAAACTTAGTATTCACCCAGTTTCACTTCTTGGAGATTTTCTGTGCTAGAGCAAATGCATAACCTATAGAATTTACTTGAATGTGCACTGCAAGTTTCTTGCATCACTAAAAGCTTTAATTCTGAAATAACTTTTCCATTACCTGAAAACTCCATGGAGACAAATTAATGGATACATTTTTACTATAATGTCCCTATCATAGGCGAGGTGTTTCTGAATATTGTGGTCTTAACTTTCCTGATAAATATAGATGGCTTTTGTGTTTTGTCCTTCTGTAACTATTAAGTACTGAACTTATTAGTACTCCTTTCACTGTTAAACCCAGACTTGAGTGGATGTATGTCTAGTTCCTAGATAGTACAAGCTGAACAGGAATCAGTGTAGCACTTGTATGATCTCTTACGACAATGTTAGTAAGTAAAAACATATCTTTTTAAATGCTTTGCTTTGTAACAATTTACTAACAGAGTAATAAAGTTTACTAGCTCTCAGAGGAGGACAAGATGACTAACTATTGGTAAGATCTCACTCTTGACACTTGAGCTGCCTTGTACGCTGGCGAGTTGCAAGGCCTGCCTGGACTGGTTGAAGCCAGGCATGGAGCATGGCTGAGAGGTCAGCTCTGAGCTCATCAGTCGTGCTGTGGCATGGGACAAAGCAGACTGGCAAGGGGATGAAATTAAGCTTGTAACTTATACCTTGTGGTTTGAGGTATTTATCCTTTTTCTTTTTAAAGGAGCTGTGCCTAAAAGCCTTAAAACAGTATCTTTTTTTTTTTTTTTCCCCTCTTTAAAAAAATAGGATGTATGCACCACCACAGACACAGACCCCCATTACACCTGCAACCTCTTTTGAACTGGTCATAACAATGCTAATGGATCTTCAGCCTGGTCTCATTTAGATTTTGCTGGCTCTTATGTCTCCTAGTTAGGCATATTTGGGAAAACAGCGTTACCAGCTTAAACACAACTTTCAGAAAGCCTGGTGGTGCCTCAGAATGGGACACCAGCATTGACTTGGGAGCTGTGACAGTAGGTGTCTCGTGTCTCCTGTCACAGAAATTTGTCTTTGATTGTCTAGTA